TGCCTTTCCAGTAAGTGTTTTTATATAATTTTATGTTTGATGATGTTTATATACTTGATCAGGGAGGAAGGGTTGAGGATTAGGGGAAAGTGAATGAGACCATTGTTTCCAAGTTTTCTTCTTCCTGGGTCTGGAGGAAGAGAGGAATCATGGGGAAGCCACACCCAGCCTCCTAACCACCTCATTAACCAGGATTGGGTAATGGCCACCCAGCGTCATCCCAGAGTCACCAGTGTGGAGCATGTTCCGAGGGTTCTGCTCAAGTGGTTTCGATGATTCTGAAATGCTGTCATTCTCACCAATTCCAGGCTAAGGAAATTCTTCCCATGTGTGTTGACTGACACAACCCACCTTAGAGTCCCCATTCACCCAGATATTTGCTGTCAACACTTGGCTAGGGTAGTTGACCGATTTGTTCTTTCTTCCTCTGCTGTGGTACTAGACGTCCTCCGCAGACCCCAGTGGACTGCCATATCCTCCATTTGCACCTGGGCATGCGGTCCACTGCTCCATCTGAGCCACCGAGGAGGCCCAGCTCTGACACATGCACTCCACAGTCAGCCCACAGCTCCTCTGAGTCTCCTCATGGTTGGAGTTCTGAGTCCAACGGTTCAGTTGGGGGGATCCCCATCAAACCTCATCTGAAGTGATCCCAGACCTGACCCTGTGTGTGTTGCCAGTACAGGGTCCAGCTCTGTCCATCACCCATGCATCAGCCTATGTACTGGTAGCTGCAACTTTACTTATAAAAATAAATCTTTAAAACACACACACACATACAAACCACCTAGTGCAGGGTGACCCCAGACAGGTGCAGAATGCAGCGGCCAGCCCTGCCCTGAGTCACCGTTTTGGAACAGGTGACTGGCACAGAGCCAGCACAGCTCGCTAGCAGCCAGCTCTGAGCTCTCACCCACCGCTGCATATGCCAGTTTCACAGCAGTTAACTAGTGCGACAAATTCTTTACCAAAAAAAAAAAAAAAAAAAAAAATCCCTGCACTGAAGAAGCTACTTAACCCGGACTGATTTCCACCCCTAAGAGACCGAGCCACAGGAGCTACCAGCAGCCACAAGCGAGGAGCGCACCAGGGGAGGGTCGCGCCTGCCGCCAGCAGCAGCAGCAGTGTGTGCAGTTGGCTCAGCAGTCCGCAGGATTAGCGGCTGCGCTTACTGGCTGCGGAATGTGTAGCTGGGCTGTTAGGGGAGCTGCCCGGGCCTGCCAGGACATCCCTACAGCAACCGCGGGGCAGCACTCCCCAGCTCATTCCGCCCTCTGAGCTGCAGGACCGCAAGTCTGGGGGTGGGATCACAGCTGACATCCGGAAGTTAACTCCGGGGATCAAAGCAGTTCCTCCCCTTCCTGCAGGGAGGCTAGCGACGCCAGGGAAATTCTCCTTTCCGTAGAAGCCGTGGGCGCCAATCAGACATTGCCTTAATACTTGCTGCTCGTGCTGAGTGGGAGGGCTCGCAGTTCTATCCCTTTTCCACCAGGAAAGGCAGGCTAGTCACGCAGAGTTCCTGGACACTTACTCCCCACATCCGGGCAGTCACACTGGCTCCCAAAACCCAGCTTATGAAAGAAAACCAGGGCTGCACAGGTGGGCAGGTAGTTAAAGGTGTCTACTGGAGTAGCTGGCTTTGAGTCCCAGAGCTGCCTCCTGATCCAGCTCCCCCAAGGTACAGCAGTGAGGGCTCGCGGCCCCAGCACCTGCCCTTGCCTGGATGGAGTTCCCAGCCCCTACTCTAGCTCCTACCCCACTGCGCGGGCCTTTGGGGGCAATCCTATAGGTGGGCACTCTGTGTCTGCATCTCAAATAAATTTTTTTTTAAAAACTGAAAAGGCCAGGTGTCTCTTTGAACACCACACCAGCAGTTTCTGGCTGGTATGAAAAATTAACACAATATTGTACTCAGTTTTACACCATTTCCATCACCACAGGTCTGGGGTTGCTGGTGACTGTCCTCCTCCAGAACTTCTAAAATACAACACCATCTCTCCAAAACCACCCTGAGACCCCCGGGGTCCCCTCACCACCGTATCCCTGCTCCCGCATCACGCATGTCCACATTTTGTCTCCAGGACAGCACCAGCTTTGTGACCTCCTCTACCATCCGACAGGCAAGACACACAGAAAGGTTTTCCCTTTTGCTAAGTCCCTTTCCCCAAATGTCTGCAAGGACCAAGCTGGGTCAGGACAAAGCCAGAAGCTGGAGGTCTCCCCACGTAGGTGGCAGGGCCCCAGTGACTGGAACTATCACTGCTGCTTCCCCAGGTCTGCATCAGCAGGAAGCTGGAGCCAGGAACAGGAACCAAGGAGCTAGATATCAAACCCAGGCATCTTAGCCCTTAGCCCAAGTGTCAGCAATGTGACAGCCTCCAGGACACCACCTCTGTGAGGCCAGAGCTACCTAAACACGAGCAGAAGAGGTGGCCAGCCACCAGAGCCATCTAGAAGACGGTGCCCTGCTCAGAAGGTGGCCTGCGGAGACCCCGCCCAGGCCCACGGCTTCCGAGAGACATGGTACATCCAGCAAACCCGGTGAGCATGGTGCCCTCAGTAAGTGCCATGGGGCCAGACCTCCAGAGAGAACCTTTGAGGTGGAATAATTTATTGGGAGAGAGGCAGACATGAAATGCAATACACAGTACAGTCCTACCCAAATTTAATGAAAGAAGAAATAGAAAAATAAAAAATAAAAAGACCCTGGCTACAGTGGCCCATGCGAAGGGCACGGCTGGAAAGCCCTAGAAACAAACGAGTGGACTGGCAGAAGCGAGGACCCTCACACCTCGACCACCTCCTGGACTTCTGAACCCACAAACAGGTATGGCTTTCTACTGCTTTGTTTCTTTCAAATCAATACTGTCCTTAATGCTTTTTTTTAAAACTTTAAGGTAATGGAAGTGGGGGAGACTTTTGCATTTGTCTTGCAACATGCCCTGAAAGCTATAGAGACAGAACATAAGGAAGAGAAACCCCAGTAATTTAAAAGCATCAGCAACTTGCAAGTGCAGGCGCAGATGGAACACGAAGGCTGCCAGGTAATGATGGCAGAGTGGACACTCCCACCCAAGCCCCGCCTGTCCCAAGTGAGGCAGGGGACAGGCTGGTGGGGTTCCTTCCCCACTTGGAGAAAGGGTAGTTGGGTTCCCAGACAGTGGGCTCCCACCCTTCCCCTGCCCCCAGGGCTCACTCCGTGGGCACGTGGGGTTCCTGTCCCGCCTGGAGAATGGGTAGCTAGCGTCCCAGGCAGTGGCTCCTACCCCCTCCACAGGGCTCACTCCATGGGTACATCCATCTCAGCAGAATCTGAATAAGACCCTTCACGTGGGCCCGGCGTGGTGGCACAAGTGGTTAAGGTCCTCGCCTTGCACGCCCGGGATCCCATATGGGCGCCAGTTCTATCCCGACAGCCCCACTTCCCTTCCTGCTCCCTGCCTGTGGCCCGGGAAAGCAGTCCAGGACGGACCAAAGCTTTGGGACCCTGCACCCGCGTGGGAGACCTGGAAGAGGCTCCTGGCTTGGGATCAGCATAGCATCGGCCGTTGCGCTCACTTGGGGAGTGAATCATTGGACGGAAGATCTTCCTCTCTGTCTCTCCTCTCTGTATATCTGCCTTTCCAATAAAAAAATAATAAAAATAAATCTTTAAAAAAAAAAAAGACCCTTCACGTGCAGGATGCACTGGGATCCCAAGGGGGCAGGGAGGAAGGGAGGAAGCACATGGGTGAGGCAGGGGATGAGCCTATGGCACCAGGGCACACAAGCCTGGCCAAGGGGCAGAGCCGTCCTTCAGCAAGATCCCAAGAGCTGGCAGAGCTGACAAAGGTTCAGGAACAATCTGTCCAGATGGTAGGGCAGGGGCCAGGTCACTGCACAGGCTCAGTGGGTCGGCAGTGCCCTCCTCTGGCGGTGGTACCTGTGCTGGCCTTGCCGTGGGATGCCCTGGAGCCTGGGGGGCCGCCTACGCCCTGCAAGGCTCTTGCCCTGCGATGTCACTATGAGGGCCTCAGTGAGGACCCAGGCCACGGGACAGGTGATGCTGGAAGACAGCCCACTCGCTGTGCTGGCCTGCTTTCTTCTCTCTGTGCTTCCTCCGTCGTCCTCTCCCTTTCTTCTTGGATTGTTGGCGTGAAAGATCTGATTGAAAATGGAGGCCAAGTTGAGCCCTGGATTATAGGCAAACAGAACCTGCGGAGCCCACGAACCACTTCAGGGGATGCCACCACACCCTAGAAGCCCCCAAACCCAGCAAGCTCCCTATGTGGTGGGGGGAGGGTCAGGAGAAAGGAGAGATGGGGTAGCAGGCTGCCTTGGGTTCAAGGCTGACCGTGGAGTTCAAGGTAGAGGAGTCTGGCAAAAGCTCAGCCCCAGATCCCATCGGGGTAGACACCAACAGCAGGGATCCTAAAGATGCCCCAAAGCACATGGCATCTTTGCCAACTGGGGGCTAAAGCAAGCATTCGTGAATGCTGGCACAAACAGAGGGAGTGAAGCAGAGATGGTGGGAGGCACAGCCCAGCAGCCCAACAGGGATGCGCCACCTCAAGGCAGAAAGGGGCTGAAGCTGGAAGCTGGGAAGGTGAGGCTGCCACCACCAAGCCCAACCCCTCACAGACCAATAGCCACCAGTGCCCAAGGAACCCCAGGCCTGGAAAGCTCCAGGAAATGCCAGGAGCGGTTTCTGCCACCAAGAGGATATGGCCCACAGTGACCACGTGACTGAGCTCAGGGTTTGCAGCAAGCAGAGAGGTGGGCACGAAATCTTTGCTAAGAGTATGTACATATTTTATCAAAACCCAGCAGCTCCCCTCATCCCCACCACACTCCTGGCCTCCTGATGGAGCTTCTGGCTGTGCACCAGTGAGGAGGACCATCGGACAACCCAAGGCCCAAGAACAGCCGGCGGCAGCTGCCACACCAATGTGCTCTGACACCAGGATCCCCCCCCCCCCGCCGAAAATGAACCCAGGAAACAGAGGATGCGTCCAGGAGCTTCACCTCACCTGACAGACACCAAGGAGCCAGGGCTGCAGGCTGACATGCAGCTCCCGCACATCCGCCCGGCCCACAGCCCACGCCAGCGACAGAGATCTTGTTACCGTCCTGCCCCGTAGTTACCACAGTGTACCGCACGGGCTGGTGCAGCTGCCGTTAGCTCACAGCACTCTGAGAGTTCTCAATTATCCACTCAATAGCAGCCCACCCCTGCAACAACAACAACACATAGAGATGGCGACATGAGGACACTGTGGACCTTGCCCACCAAGGAGGCCACAGAGGCAGGCAGCTCCTCCACTGAGGGGGTGGTCCTTCTCCTGTGTTAGCAAATCAACCTCCCCAAGCCTGGGGCCGCAGGGCCCAAGAGGGATTGGACTAACACCTGCACCTGCTCCAGCCTTCAGGGCAGCTGTTCCCTGCACAGCCAGAGAGCACTTCCAGCAGCTGAGGACGGAGAGCTCTCCCATCAGCTGGGGACGGAGAACACTCCCATCAGCGGGAACGGAGACGTTCAGTGACTGTCAGCTGAGGACGATGTGAATGGGGCACTTCAGTTTCCAGATGGCTCCTGGACCCCAACATGGAGTAGGACCCAGGGATGCCCTGTTAAGCCCCGGATAATGCTATGTACAAGAAAGCAGATTTGACCTCAGAATTTACTCTGATTTCTTCTCGCAAAATGCCTGTGCTGGTTCTGGTCTCACTGAGCACTCAAGTCTGTGCAGCAGACACTGGGGAGAGGCTGCCTTAGGCTGAGTTCCGCCTCCTCCGAGGGCTGCTATGTGTGGCCTCAGTTTCTCAAATCTGAGTTTTTCCAAGGGCTTGGCTAGACTAGTGACCGTCATCACAGTGCTTCACTAGCTAGTGACTTAGCCTGAGGAAGGGGAACCAAGGGAAGGGCAGCCTCGGGCATCACCCACTGTTGGGAAAACAAAGCTCCACTTCTGCCCAAAAAGCAGACGGGTACAGAGAGGGAGGAATAGACAGGGCATGTGAGCCTGTGTGGCACCAGGCCAAGGCCCTGCTCTGGGAAGCAGCAGCACGGGGGCAGCAGTCCTGCCAAACCCTCAGTCTCCAGCCATCAACCCTGCACTCAAGCTGACCGGCTCTGTCTGCTTCCCAATGATGTGGTGGGCACACCCAGTAAGTGCCACAACCAGCCTCCTATGTGACCCTTCCCCTCTCCTCTCATCTCCACAAAGCTCGCCATCAAACCATGCCAGTGAAGGAGAGGCTCAGATGGCACCTGCCTTCCGGGGCTGGGGGAGTTCAGCCAAAGCCCTTGGATGCCTCTGGAATGAAGGTCAAGCCCTAGTTCTCCCACCTGGACAGTACGAATGGCTCTATTATCTATAGCTATGGGGTTCCCTGGTTTGGCTGCTGGCCAGGCTTATGCTCCAGGCTTACCGCACTTTCCCTGAGAAGTTTAGCAGCAGCCACACTTTCCCCTACAGCCTCAGCCTCTCCCCACAGCTGGTGTGAAATGTAACAGGATTAAGAGTTGCTGTGGCTTTACGAGCTCAGCTGCAGGTACACTGCCCCCCATCCCCCAGGCTCAGAAAGAGTGATGTCAGTCAACGGCTGTGGCAGCTGGCTCCTTCCACCTGGATCATACACAGGGCACTGGGATTGGGACACTCACCTTCTTGGCATTGGATGATATCGTACTGGCCATCAAGCTCTCCAGATAGCTGCCAAGGCTAATACCCTTCACAGTGATGGTGGCTTCCTGAGTGAGCACAGTCCTGCAGAACAGGAAGGGGAGGAGCTGACTGGGCCTGAGCAACCCCCTCACCTGGAGTGGCCCCACCCTGCCCTCCCCCTTGCTGACCCCTGTGACAAGCCCAGGAGGTGATAGCTCACATGTCAGGGTTCTCCGGATGGGGCGTATACACCAGCCTCTCATTAACAGACACCAGATTTGTGAGCGTGATCTTGAAAAACAAACAAACAATGCCTTAAGGTCCTAATTCAAATGTGTATTTTCCCTAATTCACCTGTCCCTATTTTCCCATCCCCAAATGGACACTTCTCAGGGTGAGAGAAAAAGGAACACACCACACTTGGCTCCAGGAAACCCACGGCTGGGAGCCTGGTCATCTGCCCTCTTGCCTCTCCCCAGCCCAGTTGTTGCGGCTACACAGTCACTGCCAAGGACAAACAACATCCACAAAGAGGGGTGGAAAGCTTGTTAAGCCCCATCCCAAGCCAGAACCCAGTGTTGGAGCCTCGTCCCCAGGAGAGGATCGGGCAGGATGGGAGAGGCTCTTGTGTCCTCAGGCATAGCTCCCTATAAACAGCCTCAGGTCTCCTGTGCACTTTCTTTTCTGTCCTAGCCAACTTACACGCTGGAGCTCTAGAACAGCACTGCCTGGTGCAAATTTCTGTATGGCAACTGCCTGCTCCTATGCAGCCAGACATGGCAGCCACATGACACAGGCAGACACACACACAGACAGACAGGCAGGCACACAAATGCATACAGGCAAACACACATGCACATGCATACACATGTGGGCAGACATACACACATGCAGGCAGACACACACAAGCACACAGGCAGACACACATACACACATTACAGTTCACACCTGAGATGCGACAAGTGACACTGCAGAACGGGATGTTTTCTTTTCTTTTTTTTTGAAGATTTATCTTATTTATCTGAAACAGTGAGGGAGAGAAGGAGAGCCAGAAGAAGTCTTCCATCAACTATTTACTCCCCCAAATCAGCTGCAATGGCCAAGGCTGAGTCAGACCAAAACCGAGAGCCTAGAACTGCATCCTGACCTACATGGGCGCAGGGGCCCAAGCATACGGGCCTTCCTCCACTGCGTTCCCAGGTACAGCAGCAGGACGGTACACCAGAAAACAGAGCACCCAGGGCTCAAACTGGGGCTCAAAAGAGGATGACCGTGTCACAGGCAGTGGCTTACAGAAGACAGCCTGTGATGCCAGCCCAGGATGTTCTGTTTGACTTAACCCCCTGGAATCTAAATAGCCACATGAGCTGCAACTATCATGCTGGACAGAGAACACACCACTGTTTGGCCCCACTCATCCTCTTCAAAAGCAAAGACCATTAAAAAAAATTCTAGTGGACAGCAAGCTAGCCTTCCAGCGTGCGCTTTCCAGGTGAAGAGAGGAGAGCTTACGTTCAACTGTCAGGAATGGCAAGGGGGGCTGGCTGAGGGGGGCCTGAGATGGTTTCCTTTCTCCTTGAGACTTCATGCAGTGGGACTGCAGGGTTGAGGGTCCCAACTGTGGAGAAGCAGGTGCAGGGCATATGTTCATGGCACACAGCGCAAGTGCTCTGGCTGCGAGTAGGGCCAGGAGTCCCCTAAGCCTCGCCTTCTGGTCAAGGCCTCCGAGGAGCTCCAGCTCCACGGATGGACGATGCTGCTGAAAGGAGGGAACATCCTAGGGGCTGCCTCACCCATCAGCGCTCACACCCCGGGTCCAAGGTCACTCCCACCCTCAGCTGCCAGGGCACCGGGGCGTCCCTCAAGGACTTTACACTCCCCACAGCCAAACCTCACTGCTCTCTTCTCAAATGTGCTTTGTATAAGCCCGCAACAGTCCCACACCACTCAGCCCGGTGCCAAAAACAGGGAGTCACACTGTGGCCCCTTGCTGCTCCCTCACTGCTCTGAGCTAGCTCTCCACACCCCAAGCCACATTCCACTTTCTCTCACCTGCACTACTCACCTCCCCAGCTCAGCTCAACATCCCCGCACCGCTCCCCATGGAGCTGCGGCAGGATCCTCCCTGCGCATGATCCAATTTCTTCATCTTCCTGTATCTGACATGCGGTGGCCATCACTGCGCATACAGGATCAGTGCCTCTGCCCTCCGCCACTTTGTCCCTGCCCCCTCCAGCCTCCTAGGCCTCCCCGCCATGCGTGTACACACACACACACACACACACACGCACACGCACACACACACCCTTCTTCTTTTTGGTATCTGAGAAACTCAAAGGCTTGAGCCTCTGGGTGGTCCAAGCACCCTGAGGCCCAATGGGCCCCCAGCAAGGCTCTCTGGGAAATTCTGGCGCCTTCAAGCACAGCCTCCTTCTTAGCTCCCCCTGAAGTTCCAAGCGGCAGCTTGGGAACGCTTCTCCTCTCTGAGTAGTTTGCTTCTGCTCGCACCTGTGGGACCCCAACAGAAAGGGCACACATTCTTCCAGCAATGACTTTCCCTCCCCTAGACCATGCCTGATTCTGGATGGACTGACCCTGCAGGTAGAACCAACTGCGGGAACCTACGCCAAGGAGCAAGGACAAAAAGCAGGTGGCCAGATGGGGGAAGCTAGCATGTGAGAAGGAAGCCCAATGGCTCGTTTCTGCTAAAAATAGGGCTACTTTAATAGAATAAACTGTTTTCCCAGCATGCTTTTGGACTGGCAGACGGCCAACACACGTCTTTTTCATTGAAAGAAATAAAAGAGAAGTGAAGAGGGGAAGTGGCTTTGAAAATGACTGCCCTGCTCAGGGGAGAGGCACTTGACATGGCAGTTAAACCACTGCTCATGCATCATGTCAGGGCTCGCACTTCTGATTCCAGCTTCGTGCTAACATAAACCCCGGGAGGCTCAAGGCTTTGGGTCCCTGCCACCCAGTGTTCCAACCTACAATGAGTTCCAGGCTCCTGGTTTCAGCCTGGTCCAGCCCTGGCTACTGGGGGCACTTGCAGAGTGAACCAAGATAGGACTGATTCATTTCTCTCCTATTCTCTCTCTCTCTCTCTCTGCCTTTCAAACAAGTAAAAACAAAATTTAAGTAACTGCCGCTGGACATCAAGACCGTGACTTGGGGGAGTCCGTGACACCTGGGGGAACCAGTCACACACTGGGGTTTGGCTTGCCTGCTGGCCGGGGGTGCAGCTGCTTTGCAAACAGTTCATTAGTGCTCATTTCTAAATGCTTATTACCCTCTGGTGGAAACAGGAAGACCTTACTGCTAAACAAAGTCAGCCTTTTCTATTTAAAAAAAAAACAAAAAACAAAAAAACAAGCAACCACTCAGACGTGCAGGTTGGAATTACAATTAAGTGAAGGCGTTACGCACCATCACCAAGCAATACTAAGCGCCTTTGTCATCCGAGGCCATTGCTTACATTGGTGGAACAAAGTTCCATTTTCTTTGCCACTGGATCCACCACAGAATGCTCTTTGATGTACGTCAAAGTCCTACTGGTTCCCAAGATCTACAAAACAAAGCAAAGCTGGCACAGTGACACCTTCCGAGTCCGTCTCCCACGCTCAGCTGGTACCACTCAGTCGGCTGTGACTGCTACACTGCCCGGAAGACAAGAGACCGACCTCAGGGTGCAGTTCCGGGAGCAGTCAGACTTGGGACAAGCAAAAAATAGCAGGGCGAGAGGCTGGGGAGTCCCCTCTCACCCCCTGCCCCCTGGGCCAGGAAAGGGGCTGCAGGCCAGCAGAGGATGCCTTGAAGCAGGGACCCTGTGCCAAAGTACAGGAACAGGGTCCCAGGAAGCCCCCTGCCCAGGGGCCTGCCAGACATGCAAAAACTGGCACCACTGGGACAGGAATGGGGGCAAATGCATCCGCGGGTTCACGTTTCCAGGAGCTGCCTTGCTGGCAGTGGGGTGCAGAGCTACCAGGGGCTGGACGCGGCCCCCACCTCTACTCCTCTGTACAAGCTCCATCCCCCGCGCCCCCTCCCCCGCAGCACCTCCCAGAGCTACCGAACAAGACGCGCAGGGCTCACCGCTCGCACGAGGCTGGGCAGGCCCCACTCAGTACTGAGCAGGCGCAGGCTGTGCAACCGCCCACGGCTGTCCACGCCGCGATCCAGCACGTCCACGCCCACCACACAGGGATTCATCGGATTCGGGTACTTTCTCATGGCGGCCTTGATCACCGTGTCCCACGGGTGGCTGCAAGGAGAATGCAGTGGAGAACAACGGCAAGGTTTGCATCCGCCTTACAGACAGCGGCAGTGGCTATGCAACGCAACCCGCCCGAGACCACCTCTCCTTGGGGACCACCCTCCACCAGCAGCACGCCAGGCACTGCTCACCCTTGTCTGCCAGGAAGGAGGCATTTTCCTCCTGGCACCTGGGTGCTATCAGATCTTCCCGCACCTCCACCCACCCCGCAGGCCACAGGCAGGCAGACCTCAGGGTGAGTCCGGTTCTCCCACCTGCCCGAACACTTGAGCCTGATTCCATTTTGACAGTTTTCTCGACATTTGTTATTATGTATTTGAAAGGCAGGGAGAGTTCCCATCTGCTGGTTCACTCCCCAGATGCCTGCAGCAGGTGGCACTGGGTCAGGCCAGAGCCAGGAATTCAGTACGGGTTTCCCTTCTGGGTGGTAGGGACAAGGACTTGAGCCATCACGCACTGCCTCCCAGGTGCAGGTGCAGCGACATGGGACACGCGCGTCTCATTAACCACCAGGCCAGATATAACTGACGGACCTGTAACTTACCTTCTCAACTTAAATCTCTTGTCCTAGGAGAGAACGCACTGCCCAGCGACAACTGCGCCTCCCGCCTCCTGGTCCTGTGTTTGTTCTGGGAGGGTCCAACCCTCCCTCACATCACTCAGAAATGCTTCTAAGTTCCATTTTCTGAACTGTGGAGTCACACCCCACAGCTACTGTATCCATGGCGCTAACACAAAAAATGGCTCCGCAGAGATGGGGCCATCCTGCAAAAAAGGCCACTTCCCTGAAAGGGGATCGCCCAGGGGCACAGTCGATTCCAGATCAAGAAGGGAAGGATGGGCCCGGCCGCCTAGCCTAGTGGCTAAAGTCCTCACCTTGAACACCCCGGGATCCTATATGGGTGCTGGTTCTAATCCCAGCAGCTCCACTTCCCATCCAGCTCCCTGCTTGTGGCCTGGAAAAGCAGTTGAGGACGGCCCAGAGCTTTGGGACCCTGCACCCGCGTGGGAGACCCGGAAGAGGTTCCTGGTTCCCAGCTTGGGATCGGCATAGCACCGGCCGTTGCGCTCACTTGGGGAGTGAATCATCGGACGGAAGATTTTCCTCTCTGTCTCTCCTCCTCTCTGTATATCTGACTTTGTAATAAAATAAATAAATCTTAAAAAAAAAAAAAAAAAAAAAGAAGGGAAGGAGAGCCAAAATTCAGAGAAGCAGCAAGGGTCCTGCCCAACCACTGGCCTGGGGACTCCTAGGTTATGGTCTTTGGACCATATGCTTGAAGCACCGCCTTCCGAAATTAAGCTGAAAACTGTGTAACTGTTGAGTACTCCCTGCACTAAGCTTGTCTGGATTGTTTTTTAAAAACTTTTTGTTGTTGATTTTATTTTATCTACTTTATCTGAAAGACTGAGCATCAGAAAGAGAGGGAGACAGAAAAGGAGCCTCATTTGCTGGTTCACTCCCCAAATGGCTGCAAATACCCATGGCTGGGCCAGGCTGAAGCCGGGAGCCAGGAACTCCATCCCCGGGCGTGGCAGGGCATTGGCAAGGTGGAGCTAACCTCATCCAGGGGCCCTGGCCATAGGTGAGCCCACAGGCCGTCACCTCCTGCTTTCCCAGGCACGTTAGCAGGGAGTCGGACCGGAAGCAATGCAGCCAGAACTCAAAAACATCACTCTGACGTGGAATAATAAGAGGACGCTTAACCCACTGCAGCACAATGCCAATGCATCTCCTTCATATAAAAAGCTCTTGCATCTTTCCTGACACGTGAAGTACACCGAGTACAAGCTGCTTACGGGTGAACCTCCATCATGACGAGAGCAAGATAACCACGCACTTTCAGAGAGACATCAACACATGAACGGAAGAGAAGGCTACCCTTAGAGCGACAGGGCCTAACCACGCAAAGTCAGCAGCACACACGTGGGTGACACTCATTTGACTGGCAAATCCTGACACGTCTCACGGCAGAGTGTGAGAGAAGATGTGGGTGGCATCCTTGGGGAGACTAAACAGTCACCAGCAGTCAGGAAGACATTTACTTAGAGGGACAAGAACGGACACCCTGCTCCAGCAGTCAGCGAGAGTCCCCGAGTACCTGGGATTCTGTGAAGTCTCTTTTCAGGAGAGGCAGAGAAATAGATGGATTCCTAGCTCACCCAGGGTCTGAACCTGTCCCCCCCAGGCAGACAACAGGCTTCTCTGCCACCCACCTCAGATGTCTGCCCCCCTTGGCTGCTTCAGCACACAGCCTCGGCACATGGCTGGCGGCAGGGCCTTGGCAAGATGGAGCTAACCTCCTCCAAGGGGCTGTGGCCACAGGTGAGCCCAGGGAGACTGCTGGAGGGTGACCCGGGGGACAGGACCCGCTGCACCATATCCTAGTGCAACCACTTTAGCCCATTTCTAGAACTTGTATAAGAAAAAGAATTTCTGTTTTAAGATGGGGAGCAAAAGGGGCCAAGTTGTGGCTTAGTTGGTAACTGCTTCAGGCAACCTCAGCTTTCCATAAGGGTGCTCCACTTCCGATCCAGCTCCCTGCTATTGTCCTGCGAAAGCAGCAAAAAATGGACCAAGGCCTTGGGGTACTGCACCCACGTGGGAGACCCAGAAGAGACTCCTGGCTCCTGGCTTTGAACTGGCTGGCCATTGCAGCTATCTGGCAAGTGAACCCATAAAGATGGAAGACCTTCTCTCTGTCTCCTCTCTCTCTCTCTTTCTTTCTCTCTCTCTAATTCTCACTTTCAATTTCAATGAACAAATCTTTTTCAAAAATGAAAAATAAAAATAAAATAAAAGATGTGGGGGGAAGAGTCATCACGGCTTAGCGTATAATCACCACAACTTGCCACACAGCTGCCAGCTGTTTTGCCAACTGCTCCACTTCTGATTCAACTCCCCGCTGATGTGCCTAAGAAAGCAGCCGAGGATGGCCCAACAGCTTGGGCCCCTGCACCTGTGTGGAACAAGGCTCTGGGCTTCTGGACTCCCAACTTCGGACTGGCCCGGCTCTGGCCACTGCAGCTCTCTGCAGAGTGGCCCAGCAGATAGGAGAGCTATCTCTCTCTTCTCTCCCTCCTTCTTTGTCTGACATTCTGACACTCAAATAAATAACTATTAAGAAAAGAAAAGAGAAGAAAATGAGCAAGTCTGCACCTGGTGACTGCCCTGGACTGCAAACTTGGTGAACACGCGAGCCAGGTATAGGGCGTCACCACTTCTCACCTGGGCCAGAGACTGGCTCAGATTGCACGGGCCAGGCCAGTGGGCTGTCCAGTGCCACAGCCCATTGCTCACTGGGGCTTCAGAGTCGATCCTGCAGTCAGTCTAGGAGACTGTGGCTGTTCTGTCACAGTGGCAAAGAACGGCCCCAGGAAGAAACTATCAAATCACACACCTCTTCCAATGACTTGGTTGTGTGAGGCTAGCGTCTCTTCAGACTTGAACCAAACCACTAACTGCATTATCGTGCTTGGAACACAGAAACTGACATGAGAATTGAATTATCTCCTGGTACTAATAACTCAGGGGAAATAAGCCTTTTTTTTTTAACCTAAAAAGGACTATGCTATAATAGAAGGCTCACAACGGCAGAGTGAGCTAATCTTCCACCTATGGCACCAGCATCCCCTACGGATGCAGGTTCCAAACGTGGCTACTCTGCTTCCCATCCTGCTCCCTGCTTGTGGCCTGGAAAAGCAGCAGAGAGGATGGCCCAAGTCCTTGGGACCCTGAACACATGTGGGTGACCCAGAAGAAACTCCTGGCTCCTGAAGGTGGAGCCATACTGACGGTGGAGAGGAATATCATCAAAGACGCAGTCAGAAGTGTGCCCGCCAAGTTCATCGGCATCTTGGCTGCCCAGTGGGGAAGGCAGACACTGCCATTCCTCCTCTCCTGGCCAGCTGGCACACCTGACCAAGGTGGCCCGCGACCCTGGGTCAGACCTCACCTGCCAGAATGCAAAGAGATCTGGGTGCCCTAGCGAGCTGCCCCAGTCCCTCACTGGGCACCTGTGAGCTGTGAGGGACACGAATGAATGGGGGAAGGAGTGAGGAGTGTACCTCAAAAAAACTACAGAGTGCACGAAGCAGAAACAAACAAACAAAATCACATTTGGCATAACTGTGATCATCGAAAACATCCAGAAAAAGCATCTTCACAGAGACCTAAAGCACATCAGTGGAGACATCACATGGGAGACGCAGGAGTTCCAGGCTCCCAGCTGTAGCCTGCCCCAGCTCTGGCTGTTGTAGCCACGTGGGGAGTGAACCAACTGAGGGAAGATCTGTCTCTCGGTGCCTCTCCTCTTTAACTCTGCCTTTCAAAGAAAAACAAATGAAATCTTGAAAAACAAACAGATCCGAGCCAGTCTAGCGATTTCACAAGACTTTCCCGGCATCCCTTATCCAAGTCCCTGGGGCAAACCCGTGCTGGTGTACACCCTGGAGGGGAGGCGGCAGTGCCCACTCGGGTCCCCGGGGTTCCTGCCACGCACACGGGAGGTCAGGATTGAGCTCTGAGCCCTGGCTTCCCGCTGGCTTCCCGCCGGCCACGCGCAGGCTGGCTGCAGGTGTCTGGGGAACAAAAAGCAGATGAGAATTCGCTTTACCCCTTATCCTCTCAGAGTTTTGAAACCTGCTGATTCAATTTTAAAAAGATTTATTTCTTTTCATTAGAAAGGCAGAACTACAGAGAGGAGGAGAGAAAGATCTGTGCGATGTCTCACTCCCCAAGTAGCCGCAATGGCCAGAGCTGAGCCGATCCGAATCCAGGGAGACACCCGCGGGTGCAGGGTCCCCAGGCTTTGGGCAGTCCTCCATTGCTTCCCCAGGCCACAAGCAGGGAGCTGGAAGGGAAGTGGAACAGCCATGACAGAAACGGCCATATGGGATCCCGGTTGTGCAGGGGCGAGGACTTCAGCCACTAGGCTATCGCGCCCGGCGGTGCTGATTAAATTTTACAATTCAGCACACAGCGTTGGCCTGGGAATCCAAGGCCAAGGCGCCCCAGATGCTTTCCTCCCAGTCAGTCTCCAGGAACGCAGCAGAAAACGTCCCCAAGGCAGCATCGCGCGAGCTCCACGGACACCAAGCAGCGCCCGGACCCGGCCGGAACCCCCCTAGTCCTGCATGCTCCCACAGGGAACGACCCCCCTACTCCTCCCTGAGAGCCCCGGGCAGCCCCGGCCCTGCCGGTCCTGCCTCCCCGGAGCCCCGCACCCCGCAGCCGCGACGCCCCCGCGCGCAGAACGCCATCCCTCTGAAGGCTGCGGAGGGCGCGGCGCGCGGGGGCCGCTCGGGGTCCACCCGGCGGGGGCTCAGCTCATGTCGGTGCGGCGCCCACCGCAGCCCGCAGCCCGCAGCCCGCGGCCCGCAGCCGGGCCTCACCCGAACACGTGCTCCGAGCTCCACATCTTCATCTCGGCGGCGGCAGGGCACGCTAGGGACCGGGCGCGGGCAGCGAGGAGGGCGTGGGCGGCCTCGGCTGGGCGGAGCGCGCGCGGGTCCCTCCCTCCGGCCCCGGCCCGGTGCCGCTGCAGTTAAAAATAGGGCTGCGGGCAGCCGCTCTGCGGAGCCGGTGCCTGGCACCGCTGCAGCCGGGGGGCGGGGATGGGAGGGCCGGGCTGAGCTCCCCAAAGCCTGGCCCAGCGCGCGGCTGGCTGGCTGTCCTTGGGCAGTGTCATGGGAAAGACGCAAGGAACATGCGAAGGCGGAGGAGCCGCTGCACCCGGGTCTAAGAGACAGAACCCGCTCGGGTCATTGATGATCTTAGAAACCAGGACGCCGTGCGCAGAGAAGGAAGAGGAGGAGGGGGCAGGAGGCAGTCTCCCTGGGAAGATGCAGCCGTTTGAGCGCGGGGGTGGGAGGGGTGTCGACTCCGGAAGGAAGGAAGAGAAGGTTTTTGGTTTGTTGTTGTTGTTGTTGTTGTTTTCCTTTTTGCCCCAGGGAAAGATTTTGGGTGGTTGAGACTCATCCCCCACCCACCCACACACGCCTTGACCTTGGCAGTTACCACGCATACATTACGAGTGAGGGAACCGGAGGGGGGCAGGAGTTCTGAGCTGCTCCCAGTTGCCAGGGGCTAAAGGGCAGAGCCCTGACTACTCTGCTGGATGCCCAGCTGGGCTGGTGGGTGTCCGCTGCATATTTGTGCACTGAGCCAGCGGCGTGGGAAGGGCACGCGGTGTGAGGCAGCAGGCCCAGTAGGATCCGGGCTCGGCCACCTACTCACATGGGCTGTTTATCGCCTTGTGCCTTTAGCCTCGCGATCCCCTGGCCTTTTCCCATTTTTGTGAACAAGCGCTTCGGCTAAGGGCCCCCTTCCCACCGTGCTGCTGTGACTCAGAGTGCCCAGCCGGCCAGCCGTGTGCCCACCAGCTCCTGAGACAAGCCCTCACACAAGCATTGTATTTACAGTAAAAAAAAAAAAAATGCAGGGGGACCAAGCCTGTTCCAGATCACGTGACTTGCAGTTGGCTGTGCCAGAAGTCAGAGCCACGAATGTCTGTCTGATTCCTAAGTTCAGAAAGGGCGGCTAAGCCACCCAGCCAGGCAGGTCCAGAGCTGCGGATAGAAACCAGCAAGACCAGTGCTGTAATGTCCCAAATCCGGTTCTGCCTGTTTGATGGCGCATCGTCTTGCCTAGAGGTTGAGAACTCTATGGTGGCTTGCTGCTCTATCATACCACTGGGCCAAAAACACGTTTGCATGGAGAAGCTGTGCCCTTCTGGTTGGATCTGGAGTCAGAGACAGTTCACACAGGCCGGGGAGAAGAGAAGGACACAGCCTGCAGCCCCCCAGCAGTTCCTGCACGTCCTACCTGAAGTCCACCCCTCCCAGTCCTGTCCCACCTAGCATGGTCCAGTGACAACACGGGTGAGGTAGAGGGAACACTTGGGCCCATCTCTGACACCCCGCCACACACACACACACACACACACACCCCACTTGCTGTCCCTAGGGTGGCCTGAAAGCACCTTGCAGAGAGAGAGAGAGAGAGAGAGAAAGAGAGGCTCATGGAGGCCTGGGGGCACGGGCAGGGTGGGGATTTGGAGGCAGCATCCCGGAGGCCAGAACGCACAGGGCAGGTGGAGAAGGAGGCTTGCATGAGCTGGAAGCTGCGCCATGAAGGGCTTCCCCACTCACTGTGGAGGAGGTTACAGCCAGAGAGTTCAAGAGAGAACAGTGGCAGAAGTTTAGTTGTCCTGGGGTGGGGGCGGGTACTCGGCCTGCAGTGCCTGCAGAACCGGAGAAGCAGTGGGTGACGGCTCAAGGGGCTGACTTCCCCAGTTCCTGCTGCTACTCGGGAACCCCGGATTGAGTTCCAGCTTCCAAAACTTCGGCTGTCCGCATTCTCCCAATCCGGGCGTCTGCGGAGAAAACCAGTGGCTGGCCATGCTCTGTGTCTCTCTGCTACTCTCTCAAATGATAAGTAGTGGTTGGGGGCTTGCATTGTGGCACAGCTTCCACTGTTGGCCTCGCACCTGAAAACTGGCTGAACTCACAGCTTCTGTCCTTCGTGTGCAGCTCCCTGCTAACGCGCCTGAGCAAGCATTGGGTGATGGCCCAAGTGACTTGGGAGCTTCCGGCCCCCTGGCTCAGGCTTAGCTCTGACCGCCGTGGCCATTGGCAAGCGCGCTCTTTTTCTGTCTCCCTATTTCTGTAGCTAAGATTTTCTAATCAATAAAAGAAACATTTAAATAAGCTACTTCCGGAAAGCAGGCTTGGCCAACTGTGGGGTTGACATCAAAGCGAGAGAAGCAGATGTCAGGAAGGCTCCTGGGAAGGCCTCTGGGCGCTGGGCACTGCTCCTCCATGGTGCCCGCACATCAGCCAGATGGGCATCTTGTGGTGGGCACCCTGTGTTCTTCACGGGGGTTTTCCCAACATCTGGAGATGCTGAGAGACTTGACAAGTGCTGGGCCCGTGAGCGACTGCCACCTGCTCCTGCTGAGACGGTCGTGAGTGTCCAAGGACAAGCAAGGGCTGAACCTGCCCCTAGGGACTTTGGTCTCGTCGGGTTGCAGGACCTCAGTGGGTATCAGGACCTTCAGAATCATCCCACCCACCCACCCCAGGTGAGGGCAGTGGGCAGTGAAGACTGGAACAGGGGAGGGCAGAGCCAAGGAGGGGAGACAGACCAACAACCCCTGCATGCCTGCCTGCTCCAGGGCGATGAAGGACAAAGACCTGGGACAAACCTGGGTGCCCAGCAGAAGCTGGGCTACGGAGAAGGTCCCTGGGTCTGTTGCTTCAGCTTCTCCCGAAACCTGATGGTGGGTGGCAGCTTTCTGCCCATGTATCAACTTCATTCTGGGTGGATGAGCTGCCCGGAAGCTGAGGCACCTCACCCTGGGTCTGCCAGCTGCTCCCAGCACCCATGCCCCCATGCCCGGTGTGCTGGCACCCCCGAGTCTCCAGCACATTCCCCCTCTGAGATTCACATACACACACCAGCACGGCACGGAGGGAGCTGGAAGCAATCGGCCCCTCCCAGCCAGCAGGGTCTCTGCACCCAGTGCCCATTCACACCGTGAGTATGATTTTGCCCTAGGAGGCATTGGGGGGAGAGAGGGGTCCCCAAGGATTCCTGTCCTGGCTGCCCTCTGTCATGTTACCCTGCCACATGATACTGTACTCATCTACGACTCAGGAACTCTGCTGGCACCTGCCCTGCCAGGCCTGGGTGGCTGTGGGCATCAGCGCAGTGGGTTCAGTGACCGTTTTCAGACATCCATGCCCCTTACAGAGTGCCTGATTCAGGTCCCGGTTCCTCCACTTCCAACCTAGCATCCTACTGAACCCCTTGCTTCAGCCATTGAGGGAGCCAGGCAGCAGGTGGGAGAGCTGCCTCTGCCTGTTATCTTTCAAAGGAAAATGAAAAGTTTTTTTTTAAAAGTCATAAAAAGTTAAAGAAGGGGCCTGGATGGTGGCTCCTGGCTCAGCTCTGATCGTTGCATCCGGGTGGGGAGTGAGCCAGTGGATGCAAGTTCCTTGTCTGTCCTCTCTATAAATCTGCCTTTGAAATTTTTTTTTAAAAAGCCTTTTTTAAAAAGTCAAAGGAAAAAAGGATATATTTTAAAAGATAGCAAGAGGATAACTGAGCCGCCGCACAGGCCTGGGGGGCCGGGGATGCCGTGCGGTGCGGTGCGGGACAGGGCGCTGCGGTGCCCTGTGTAGTGCATGGCGGGGCGGGGCGGTGCAATGTGGTGCTGTCAAGGCCAGCTCCGGGTTATCCTGGATCGCTTTGCCAGTCTCCTTCCTGGGCTTTGTCCTTCCTGACCTTGGGGGCCGCTGGGACGCGTCCTTGAGGGCTCACGTTCTCGCGGGCGCCCCTGGAGGACGCTCTGCCAGCTCCTCCCGCAGGCTCAGCACATTGTTTAGTGATTGCTGTAATTGTTTGTGTATCTGTCTGTCCCTCCCACGTGCCCACGCTGAGAAAAGAGGCAAAGGTAGGGGTTGCTCCCCTTACCTTTGAAATGGGAGTTTCTGGGGCTGAGCCCCAAGAAACACCACCTCATTAATGAGAAACCTGGGCTATCATCACGCATTCCCAAGGTTGAAAAAGCAACATTGCATGGAGTGGGGTGGGGTGGGGTGAGTTGGGTTGGGTGAGGACCAGGTCTGTTTTGCTCTCGGTGTCCCCAAGGTTCTAAACTAGGTCCTGGCAAACAGGAAGAGTTTGCAAAATGCCCGCTGGATGACTCAACGGTGACTCCAGGGAGCCCAGAGCCAGGGAGGGGCCGGCTAAATAGGCAGGCTGTTCCGACGGAAGAAGCTCGATCCTGGTCCCAGGATGGGAAAGCAGCCTGGCAGGCTCCTTGCCTCCTTGCCACTGTCACCTGCCCCTGTGATCATCCCACACTCTGCAAAAGCCGCAGCCGCCGATGCCACAGGCTGGTGGCCGTAGGGGACCTGTTTGCGCGCACACGGCACCTGCCGCTGCCCTCAGAGCGAGGCCACGGGCAGCTGCTGGAAGCTAGCGGTCCCACCCCACCAGCACATTGTCCTGGGCTCCGTTCGCACAGAGCAATGACTGGAATCCCAGGGGTACGCTCAGAACCCCCTGAGCCCGGAACCAGGATGGACGGTGTCCGTGGGAACACTCACGGGCCCACTTCCCTTTCCCGAACCCCACGCAGAATTCCTGCCATCCCAGAGCACCCGCCGGCCAGGCACAGTGAGTCTCCATCCCACCAACACAGAGGCACACTCCTCAATCCCACGTGCATGCTTCTATGTCATTTCCTGTGCTGTAATACAGTCGCTGATCTCTGCGGGGGGGGGGGGGAATTTCCTACAGCGAACACTGCAATCTGAGAATGAGCCAAAAGGCATTCATACTATTTGAATGTAAAAGCAAAAGAGAGGGCTCAGCATGGTAGCCCAGTGGCTAAAGTCCTTGCCTTGCACACGCTGGGATCCCATATGGGT